TCCACCTGCGCGAAACCTGCGTTCCGGTAGCGGGAGGGTCCTCGCTGGCGGCAGCGGAGCGGGGTGACTCCTGGCTCCCTAGGAGGAGGCCACCATCGCAGCCCTGACCTTCGTGGCAGCAGGGTCTTCAGCTGGTGGGTGCTCGTGCTCATCGGCATCTTTCCTACTCTTAATTTCTCTTCCTTCTTGATCGAAACAGCGTATTCCCACGTTGGCGATTAGACGCTTTGTGGAGCTGAGGGAGCGGCTCCTTGGGGAGCCAGGTTAGCTTTTCCTGTTAAGCGAGAGAAATTCAGGTTACAGAGGTGCCCACCTTTACAAATTTTTCCTGCCTCAAGCATTTCATTCTTTTATTTTTAAATGAAGCCGCACTGTTGCGGTTCTACCCCCTGACAGTTTTGCGAGAAGTAGGTTGTTGTAGCTCGCTCCAATGATGATGGCCTTGGAGGGGAGGGTGCGATGGAACGTCCAAGAGGGGAAGTTGATGCAGTAGTCAGTCTTTCTGCCGGTTGCACAACTGGCCTGAGGCAAAACTAAGACTTAATATTGTCTCTGCTGTGCTCTTTGGGATCGCTCAGGGATGTTGCGCGCTCAGGTGAGCAAGGCCAGACCTGCAGGTTGTCTAACGCGTCCGCTGGCTCAGAGAACCTCTCCAGTTCTTGCCGGTGGAAGCTCACCACGTGGTGAGCTTGGAGATGGTTCGGTGGCATGCGGGGCGACCTCGTGCTCCTGAGGTCGGCTAACACTGCAGAGCTGGAGGGGCTGTGAGGGTGTGCGGCGCCCTGCTGATGCCTCCTACAGAAGGAGCTGCTGCAATAGCAAATGCTACAGCGATTGTTGTGCATCGGGTAGCTGGAGAGACGTGGGGAAATACGCTCTCAATACTTTATTTTCTTTACTTCATTTGGTATGTTCTTTGGAAACAGGAAAGAATCGGAGGCTGAAGCAGGCAAAAGAAGAAGCCCAGGCAGAGATTGAGCAGTACCGCCTGCAGAGGGAGAAGGAGTTCAAAGCCAAGGAAGCAGCGGTTTGTTTTCTAGATCATTCGCTGTTACCTAGCCAGCCCCTTCGCCTTGCATTTGGGGTTACTTGCCCTGAGAGTAGCCCTCGGGATGGAACACGTTGCCGGAGGAGTACTTCCCTAACTGCCTTCCTCTGATGCACAGCCACGTGTCACGGAAAAACCAGTGGAAGTGAATCAGAACATGGTGCATTGCGTCGCAACAGGCAGAACTATTGACTGGCAGTGAATTGGCTTAATAAGCTCATGTGCTGGCTGGGGCCCTGGTGGGTGGCAGCCTCCCAAAACCTGCTGTATGTAGCAGCGTCAAAAAAAACCAAGCTCATTCCTCCTGTGACAAGCCGGTTTCTACAACGCTACATGGTAGAAGCCGCTTGCCTCGTAGATGCTGCTCTCGTGCTGAAGCAGTTGTGTCCAAAGGGGTGTGTTTCCTTTCCTTCTGAGCAAGAGGAGGTATTCCCAAAAGGCGCAGAACTGGGGCGAATGAGGGCTGTCACGCAGTCAGGATGTTTCCGCTGCCTGTATGCCCACGTCAGTTCTGAAAACTTCAGAAAATGGGCTGGCAACCCTCTCCTCTGTTCATCGTCTGGTTAGCACAACACCACCTCCTCTGTTCTCCTGTATAATAAGCCTTCATGTCAGTAGGTCAAGATTAATTTTTTACAATCAGTTGCTAGCTTGGTTCACTAGGCGTATGGTACCAGGCAATTCCAGGCTAATAAAGTGGACTTCACTGCCTGTCAGCTGGTTCTGTTTTATTTATCCTTCTCCAGACAGAGAAGCTCTTTGAATTTGAGTCCCAGGGTGCTAGTCTCTTTTGGCATATTTTTCTGTGCCTTCCCCCGCCCCCTAATGGGAATTTGCACTCTCTGCCCTTGCTTACGGGGCAAGACGGGCATCGTAAGCTGTGTGAGACTCCTTGCTGTGCGTATCGTGTGGCCCACAGTCCTGTTAGGAAGGCAGAGATTTTTATAAAGATTCTTCAAGGGTAGGAGCAATGGGATGATGTGAAGACTGTGCTTAAACTAAATCACGGGTGTTACTTTTCTTACACTATCTAGTACGGTAGTGCCCAGGGGTTCCCGGTTCCGGTCGCCAGTAGAGCAGGACCTTTATTTCAGGCACTCTTTAGAAGCCTATGCTCTAAACTGGTAGATAATGAATAAGAGAGGATAAAAGGCGTGGGCTGTGGATGAAATACAAACTTGGGCAAGTTTAGCGGGAAATCTGAGTAGAGAATCCAATGGTACTTTTTTTTTTTAGTGCAGTTCTTCCCTCAGGAAAGATTAATGGTTGAGATGCAGTGAGGCGGTCCAGAATAACAAAATCCAGAGCTAGACATAGCGTTTTCTTTGTCAAACCACTTTCATGTGAGCTTTCTCTTTCCTTTGCTATTTGTAGGCGCTTGGATCTCATGGCAGCTGCACCACTGAAGTTGAGAAAGAGACCCAGGAAAAGATGAGTGTGATCCAGCAGAACTTCCAGAAGAACCGCGAGGTGGTCCTCTCCCAGCTGCTGTTGCTAGTGTGTGACATCAAACCTGAAATCCACGTGAATTACCGCATCAATGGGTAGTAGTGGAAGAAGGAATGAGCATACTGGAAATGCTGGTAGTAATGTCTGAGCTTCAAGTGGAATGTACAGCTCTTAGCCATACCTTAACTGTTCTTCTTGTAAATGTGTTAAATTATTTCAGTGAGTTGTAGGTCATCAATATCTTGTTGGAGTTCTGTTAGTTCCTCTCTTGACACGGATTCAGAGCTTATTTGAACATTAAATGTCCATGTCTCAAATCTGCGCTAAGTTGTTAAATATGTATTCAAGTTGGCACATTAATGCTCCCTTTTTATCTGGATAGTAGTCAGCGAGAGGCTTTCCTCTGGGAAGTAGAAAGGGGAGAGAGGTATCGGCCAGGTGTAAATGGAGAGCCTGTGTCAGTAATTGTTAGACCTGTGTAACTATTCTTGATGACCAAAATGCATTTTTTGGTGTGTTGTTAACATTTGTACAGGGGTTAAACCTTGTAAGAAGAATTCTCTGGCTGTACAGTGCTGGCTGATAATTTTCAGGTGCTTGAGTTCCTCTGTATTGAATATCCTCTGTATATTCTGCTGTTAGCTTGAGTTACGAGTCTGGCACTATGACACTTGAAAGTAAAAACACTTACTTAACTCCAAAGTCTCTAGTCGGTCTTCTTGTTCCTGCTCACTTGTTCTGAGAGTACTGACAGGTCTCGCTGTGTTGCATGGGAGTCTGGGCTCTGAAAAATGAATATCAAGTATTGATAAAACAAAGAGTAAGAGGTACAGCAAATGTCTGGAGGTCGCAGCAGGTAAGGTAAAAACCCATTACAGAGCTCCTCCTCTTGGCTCCAGTCTGATGCTTTACCTGCCAGATCATTCTGAAAACCTTCAGGAACAAATGTTCTTGTGACCATTAGGGGGAATAAAATGTTGCCAGTTCACTAGAATAGTTGGATAGCCAGGCGCTGTGCAGTAATTATCCCTCCTTTAGTCAAGTGCTGGTCACTGCTTGTTTATACCAAGGTCATACTGTATCCTGCAGCATCCTGCTCTGCCTGGGAACAGTGTGAAATAAGTGTGTTGGGATTGTCCGTGCATTGCTTGCTAGCTCTTTAATCAAAAGTACACGAATACCTTGAGAGGTTTCATGTTTCAGCGGTTTCTTCCTCTCCCTCTCTCACCAGCAGAATATTAAATGTAGTTTTGCTTTTTTGTTGAGTTCGGTTTAAGGCTTTTTGCAGAAAAGAGACCTTGACGAGCACGTACCTGATCGGACCCAAGAGCCATGCAGTTGGGGATCTAAGCAAGAAACCTTACTGATGCTGTTCCTCAGACAGAACGTCCTATGTTGGCTGAGGGAGCTGGGGTTGTTTAGCCTGGAGAAAAGGAGGCTGAGGGGAGACCTCATCGCTCTCTACAACTACCTGAAAGGAGGCTGTAGCGAGGTGGGGGTCGGTCTCTTCTCCCAAGTAACTGGCGAAAGGACGAGAGGAAATGGCCTCAAGTTGCGCCAGGGGAGGTTTAGATTGGACATGAGGAAAAATGTCTTTACTGAAAGAGTGGTTAAACATTGGAACAGGCTGCCCAGGGAAGTGGTTGAGTCTCCATCCCTGGAAGTATTTAAAAGACGGGTAGATGAGGCGCTTAGGGACATGGTTTAGTGGGCATGGGGGTGTTGGGTTGACGGTTGGACTCGATGATCTTGGAGGTCTCTTCCAACCTTAATGATTCTATGATTCTATGTTTCCACTCACCCTCAGCGTAGCGTTGAAAGCCGTTCCAGACCTGTGGAGTTTGATTGTGGTTGGGAGGGAGGAAAGCAGGATGGATGAAAGTCGTAACAAAGGAACGAATGTCTGCCTGCAGCCACACAGGGCGACGACAGAGTCGACTGCTGCGGTGTCTGTTGTAATACTTTATGGTAGTGTACTGTAGTTCTGAAAGGATCCCTTTAGGAACTCAGGCTCTTAAACAGGATGTAAAATTGAAACAAAAGCCGCCTGCAAAGTCAAATGTGCCAGGCTGGGGAAGAAGCCAGGTCGGTACAAGGAGAACAGGATCCAAAGCAGTTTTAATCAGTCTGGTCTAATGACTGGAGAGGTGCTATGGCCTCATGAAAGGTTGCAGCCATGCTAATTCTAGTCTGTCCTTTGGAGAGGAAACATTTCTTCCTGTTGAGACCAGGTGCTCAGACTCCAGCATGGTACTCCTAATAGAAGTCCTCCTGGCTCCGGGCTGTAATTAGCAATTTCATCCTGTTTGTGTATCAGTAAAAGACTGCTACTCTGTCCAGAAAAAATATAGCGCACGCCCCACTTTCTCATGTTGGTTCATAAGTTTCCCTTTGTTAAAGAGGACTTTCTAGCCTTGCTCTCAGGAACAGTAAGAGGCAGGAGAAAAGGCACAACCCTTCCCTGATTATTTCCTCTTGGCAAAAGGTGATGTGAAGATGCTCCCTTTAGAACATTGTGTTGCAAGAATATCGATTTTCTGTAATATTTCCCTGAAACTTAGCTGCTTAGAATTACCGGCCTCTGTGACTTTGCACAGAAGCGAGTATTTCCAATTACTGCTCACCAGGAAGGCTGGCTTTGTTTGCAGTGTAGATATTTTGTTTTAAATTGAGATTCTCTCATCTTACGCTGTGATGCTCTGGGAAAGGGAGACCTACTGCTATCTTCGTGCCTAGGCCAGGCTGTGCCAGAAGGATACTCTGCAGGGAACAGTTTTCTGCTGACAGAGGTAGGGAGTTGGACATGCGACTTTTTGCCTCTGAAATCTGATTTTTCTAGACTTTCTGCGGTAAGTTTGATTAGTAAGAGTAAAACCTACCCCAGCTGCTAGTACAAATCTGCCTCCCAATTCTCCCTGCTGCTGATCTGCCTCCATAATCCCTCACAGATGTGGGCCCGTGTATATGGGCCATAGCTTGCTCTTGGACCATAGGAAGGGCCAGAAGCTGCTTTGGGCACATAAACCGCTGTCTGATTCCCTTAATTTGAGCTCTTGCCCCTGGAAATACCAGCCGGCTGCCAGGACAGTCAGAGTCCTGGTGCTGCGTGGAGGTAAGAAGTGGTCAGCACTCGTGTCCTGTTTTCTTTGGGCAATGTCAAGTGAGTGGCTGCTGCTGTTGATTTCTCCCAGTTAAAACTGCTTGCAAATAAGCACTTTCCTGGGATCGGCGCAGGCGTATTGGGGTTTACACGGTGCAGTTTGGCTCCAGGCCCATCCCTGTTCATCAACAACGGTTTGGAGTTGGTTTTTGTGGAACTTCTTTTCAGACATTATTTATAGAGTTAATCCTTTTTTGCTTTTAAAATACCGTTGAGAAGGTGTGTCATCTGTACAAGCATCAGATGGACAAATGGCTTATTAACACCAGAAGATGAGTGTCATCTGGATGGCTTGACGTGCGGTACGAGGTACAATTAGGAGACGCGTTTGTGCTGCTTGAAGCCAGAGGTCGATTTTCAAGGCACGTCTGTGTTGACAGAGCTTGCTCCTCAGTCGGCTTGCGCCGTTCAGTCTGAAGGAGAGCGTCTGCTTCTCGCTGTTGCACGTTTAAGCAAGGAGTTAAAGAGCTCAGCACCCCTCTGGGAGGGGAGGCAGAGGGGAAATCAAAGCCCTCGATCCCGGTCAAGTCCACCACCTCTGCTCTAATGGTGCTTGATATTTTTTTGGTCAGTTCAGAGCCAGTATGGGTTTGATCCCCCGTGCATTTGTTGCAGTTAAATCCAAAAACATGAGAGAAAGGTCTAGTAATGGATAGGAGGGAGGAAACGTGGTGTGTGCGGCGGTGGCAGGGAGGTCCCTCCCCAGTCGTTCACGGCCCGGGTGATCCCCCATGGGGCTGCAGAAAGCAGGCGAAGGGCAAGGCAGTGCCGCTGCTGGGAGATTCATTCAGGCAGCGTGGAATGGCAGGAGGGCGTGCTTCTTCCAGTGTTTGCTTCATGGTGCTTCCTGTGACGTAAGAACAATCATGATTTAATTATTTTTATAGCACCATTTTGGGTGACATTTAACTTGTAAATTTTTTTGTTTGTTGCAGAGAAAGTAATTTTTCCCCTGTAAAGATCCCCCCCGCCGTTTTCCCTTCCTCCCTTTCCAGGGTCCAAACAGAGAAATCAAGGAGGGAAATCACCCCCAGCCCCGTATCTGGAGTCCAGGAGTTAGAGGAAGCTTTCATTAAGAGGAGAGCAATTTTGACAGCCAGTGCCTTATCACAAACTGCCCCGGCAGCTTGATTTGGACGGTTTCAGAACCATAAGAGAGGACCCTAAATTTTCCCAGTGCCGTGGCTACTGCTGAAGATCGATGAGCCGTTCCTTGTTCTGCCCTGTGGTGACAGGCTGCTGCTAGATGGTCGCGTCGATGCGCCTTGTACGAATCGTTCAAGGTATTCCAGTGTGTACGTCCAAATTTGGCAATCTTAAATGCCTCATTCTTCTGCTTTTGTGAGGTCCCTACACAATTCCCGAAGATCTTTATTAAAGCTGGGGCTTTTTTTTATGTGCTGGATATAAGCCCGTCAAGCTGCTGGCAGTCCCTCTCCCCTCCCTCCCGTCCACAGCTTTGGGCTCCTGCTGTTCTCCCCACCTGACCCCACAGCAAGCGGGGCTAGCTGGCAGTAAGTAACCCTACCGAAAGGCCAGGGGTTTCTGGCCTGCGAGGCAGCTCGTGGGAGATGTGGAGAGCAAGGTGGTGTGTCCCAGCAATAGCTGCGTGTAGAGTAGCTGGGCTCAGTCTTATAAAAGCACACCCTAATTTTGACTGACCTGAATACTCTTGTGGTCTCCTGCCGTTCCGGTGTTCCATCGCGCAGTCCCTTCTGTGGGCTACAGATAACTGTGTAAAAAGAATGCCGTTCCTCTCCCTCCTCTCTGCCTGTATGAAACTTGCTCATTTTTCCTTTTCATCTCCTTTTTGTATTTAT